ATCTTCTACTAAATATCATCAAATACTACCATGATCAAAAATGAAATATTACCGTCTCAGAGATACTATCATCTATTTGAACATTTGAATTCCTCCAACAAAACCTCCCCTGCCATGAACCCTTATCTAAATGAAGTGAGCCTAAAGGCAGTGTCCCTTCATTTTACAGTTCTAAGGTAACCAACGAGGTGAGCCTCTGTACATATTGTCTACTCCCTCTCCAACCTTCTAATTAGAAAGGGCAGTTCATCTCTGATGGTAGTTAATTGTTCCTGGACCTAATCTGAAAACAAAGGAAAATAATTTTAGAACACGTAGTCAATTGATTCTGTGCTCATCTCCTGGAGCCGTCTTGATATTTAGAGATAGTAAACCTTGGGCAGTGCAGATATTTTAACCTGCAACTATGAACTGGATATATGTTATAAAATTATCTATTTGTGATACCTACATATTGTTGATTATTCTAATGATTATCCCAATTTTTGAACTTTCTTTTGAATATTTTATTTATTTATTCATGAGAGATACAGAGACATAGGCAGAGGGAGAAGCAGGCTCCTTACAGGGAGCCTGATGTGGGACTCCATCCCGGGACTGGAATCATACCCTGAGCCAAAGGCAGATGCTCAACCACTGAGCGACCCAGGCATCCCAATTTATGAACATTTTTAATCATTTAATTTAAATGCCCTCTCTGACCATCAGATGTATCAACCTTTAATTTAAAATTTCAAACCATTGCTTACCTTACAACCATCCTAAATGTCAAAAGATTATTTGAAGAATAATAGACAAAACCTACAAAACTTTGATAAAATATTTATTCATTTAAGATTTATTTATTTATTTATGATAGAGAAAGAGAGGGAGAGAGAGGCAGAGACACAGGCAGAGAGAGAAGCAGGCTCCATGCCGGAAGCCCGAAGCGGGACTCGGTCCCGGGACTCGATCCCGGGACTCCAGGATTGCGCCCTGGGCCAAAGGCAGGTGCCAAACCGCTGAGCCACCCAGGGATCCCTGATAAAATATTTTTTATTTATTTATTTATTTATTTATTTATTTATTTATTCCTGATAAAATATTTAAATCTACAAATGCAAGACACGCAGTTAGCTCTAAGTATGAAAAAAAAAAACACAGAGATCATAAAAAAAGACATATTGTAATGAAATGGCAAAAGACAAAGAAATGTTTTGAAAGTCACAAAAGAGGCACTTGTTATATATAAGAGAATCTTAATAGGATTATTAGCTGATTTCTCATGAGAATTTGAGAAAGAAGTGGGATGCTAAGAAGGCAGTGGAATAATCTATTTAAAGTAGTAAAGAAAAAATTTCCAGAAAACAAAAAATTCTATCATCAAAAGGCCATCAAAGCTGCCCTTCAAAGTTGAGGAAAAATCAAAAGATTCCAGGATAAACAACAAACTGAGAGAGCTTATTATCAATAGATCTGTCTTAGGAGAAATACAAAATAAAATCTTTAGTTTGAAATGAAAGAGTGCTAGACAGTAACTCCAAGACATATGAAGCTGTAAACTCTCCAGTGAAGGTAAATGCATGGGCAAATATAAAACTCAGTGCTATTGGGCAGCCCCGGTGGCACAGTGGTTTAGCGCCACCTGCAGCCCGGGGTGTGATCCTGGAGACCCGGGATTGAGTCCCACGTCGGGCTTCCTGCATGGAGCCTGCTTCTCTCTCTCTCTCTCTCTCTCTCTCTCTCTCTCTCTCTCCTCTGAATTTTTTTAAAAAATTAAAAACTCAGTGTTATTGTTATTATATTAATATTATATAAAGGTATATTAATATAATTAATATTTTATTGATACTTTGCAATTTTTTCTACAGGATTTAAAAGACAACTGCATAAAAATATTTATGTGTCCATGACATTAAGCACATGATATATGAAGATATAATTGTGGCATCAGTAATGAAAAAGACCAAAGAAGTTCAGAAATGGAGCTGTACAGTAGTGTTTTTGTATGAGCTTACACTTAAGTCAGTGTCAATTCAAATTGGATACTATATGTAATCCCCATGGTAACTGGAAAGAAAATACCCATAGAATATTCATGAAAGGAGATGAGAAGAGAATCTAAATATATCACTATAGGACATTAGTAAAATGATGGACTAGGAAGCTCCAGACCCTCATTTCTCCATGAAAATACCAAACACACAACATAAAGACCAAAGTAACTTTGTGGGAACACTAGATATCAATCAAGAAACTGCAACACCTAAATGATTACCTAAGCATGAGAAAGGCACATTCCACATGGTTGGAAACTGTCATATTTTTGCTCTTTAGTCCCACCACACAGCCAGAAAAACGTCACATGGTCACTGTCCCTGGTTCTTCCCTCAGGATGGAAATACAGAAATGAAAATTGCTTGTACATTCTGGCTTATTTTTTTTTTTTGAGATCATATTTATTTATTTGAGAGAGAGAGAGGAAGAGTGCATGAGCAGGGAGAGGGCTAGAGGGCAAGGGAGAAGCAGATCTCCCACTGAGGAGGGAGCCCAACTTGGGGCTGGGTCCCACCCAGGACCTCCAGGGATTGTGACCTAAGCCAAATGCAGACACTTGCCTGACTGAGCCACCCAGGCATCCCCATTCTGGCATATTTAAGAACTGGTCCAGCGACTGGTTTTTCTCTCTCTTCTAAAGTGGAGCACTGATGGGAAAGATGGCAGTTTGAATATCAGAATGGAGGCAACTAAAAGCAATGAAAAGCACTGAAGTAGAAGACTGATGCAGGTGATTGCATATTCATGCCTGCCTGGGGCAAGAGATTATAAGAAGAGGAATACAACAAAACACCTGAGGCTCTGAGAAGAAGCAAAAATAATACTATTAGGAAAATTAAGATACTTAAAAATAGTAATGTATACCAGAGAACTTGGAAAAAAACAAACATAACCCCCCAAAAAACCCAAAAACATAACAAAAACAAACAACAACAAAAAACATCCACAGATTTGGGGAAGATATATCCCGCACAATACTTTGAAAGGACCTCAGCACCTGGGCACCAGGGGCACCTGGTGGTTCAGTGACTGAGCATCTGCCTTTGGCTCAGGTGGTGAACTCAGTGTTCTTGGATGGAGTCCTGCATGGGGCTCCACACAGAGAACCTGCTTCTCCCTCTGCCTATGTCTCTGCCTCTCTCTGTGTGTCTCTCATAAATAAATATAATCAAGAAAGAAGGAAAGGAGAGGAAAGGAAAGGAAAGGAAAGGAAAGGAAAGGAAAGGAAAGGAAAGGAAAGGAAAGGAAAGGAAAGGAATGGAAAGAAAGGAAAGATAAGATAGAAAAAAAAGAAAGAAAAGAAAAAAAGAAAAGAAAATCAGTGAACTGAATTCAAATCATTTGAAATCATTGAGTATGAAGAGCAAAAATAAAAAAAAATAAAGAAAAGTGAAGAGAGCTAAGGGATGTATGGGGCACCATGAAGTAGATCTGTATCTGTGAATGTAAGTCCTGGAAGAAGAGAGAATGAAAGGGGAAGAGTATTTACTTGAAGAAATAATGTCAAAAAAAAAAGAAATAATGTCTGAAAAGTCCCAAATTTGAGGAGACAGATAACAAAAATACTAATACAAGAAGTTAACACATTGTGAGTAGAAAAAAATCTAAAGAGACTCACATTGCGACACATTGTGATAAAACTGTCCAAAGTTGTAATAGAGAGAGAATCTTGAAAGCAATGAGAGAAAAGTGGCTTGTAACATACAAAGAAACCTCCATAAGATAATAAGCTGACTTCTCAGCAGAAATCTTGCAAGTAGAATTAAGTGGGATGAAATATTTAAATTGTTGACAGAAAAAAAGTAACATAAAACCAATAATTCTATTTCTAGCAAAAATGTGCTTCAAAATAATGAAAACTTAAGATTTCTCCAGATAAATAAAATCTGAGGAAGTTAATTACTGGTTTTCATCAAGGGAATCCTTCAAGTTTGGAAAAAACAAAATAATAGACAATACCTAATAGAAGTAAATATATGAACCAATATAAAAACGGTATTGTTATGAATTTCTTTTTGATTAACTTTTTACTCTTTCATAGAATTTAAAAGTCAAAAGTATACAAAATATTTTAGATCTATGTTAATTGGTATATAGTATATAAAGGTCTAACATGACATGTTATAGTGGGAAAGAAGCATGGCTGCAAAAGGTAAAGATTTTCTTAATGTGATTGAAATAGGTTGTTATCCATTAAAATAGATTTCTATGACTTTAGGATGTTTTATGTTATTCTTTGGCATACACAAAGGAAAAATAATTATATAGAATATACCACAGAAAATAATCTGAATACAGAGAAGGTAAAGCTAGAAGAAAGAAGGGATTTTAAAAAAAGCTATAAGAAAAAAAAGGCAAATCTTTCTCTATCATTAGTTACTTTAAATTTAAGCAGATTAAATTCTCCAAATAGTAGATATAGGTTAGTAGGATGGATAAGAAAAAACACAGTACCCAATTACTATAATATCTCATAAGATATTATAATATCTGTAAGAAACTCACTTTTGGTCTAAGGAAAAACCTAGGTTGCAAATGAAACAATGGAAAAAGATATTACATGCCACTTGTAACCAACAAAAATAGGAGTGGCTATTTTAATGTTTAAAAATAAAATTTAAGTAAAATCTTTTTTAAATCACAAATTTAGACATTACATAATAATTGAAGTGTCATTTCTTCAAAATATACAACAATTACATATGCACCAAATATCAGAGCCCCTTCATATCTGAAGCCAACATTGGCACAACTGAAGTTAGATATAGGAAGTTCTACAGTAATAGTGGAAGACTACTACATCATACTTTAAATAATGGATAGAACAACCATAGAAGGTCAATAAAGAAATAGAGAATATCAACGACACTATTAATAAGCTGGCCTAAGAGACCTTTTTATCCAAAATCTGTTTATCGGGATAGTTACCCACTTATCTTGATTTAGCACTAAAAGTTCTGCTTTCAGCTGAAGGAACATCCTTCTGTGAGTCTAGTGTTTCCTCCTGTAGGCTGGCAAAGGACAGTGGAGCAGCCAACACACAAAACTACTATGTGTGCATAGATAAACATGGTGGTGATTTTATAGCATCCTGGGTACTTCACATCCATGATGAAGTAGGAGTTGGGGCTCTGCACTAGGCACTTCTTCTTATGCTTCTTTTTCTCCTCTTCTGTGGACAGATGGAAGATGTCCTTCACAATAGGCATGTACTCATGGGAAGGTCACCATTGCCAGAAAGTCTGGACCTAAGAGACATTTATGGCACAGTGCACTCGACAACAGTAGATTGCAACAGTAGGTTCTCAAATATACATGGAATATTTTCTATAATAGACCATATGTATAGTCACAAAATAATTGTGACTTAAAAATAATTTTTAAAAAAGACTTTATTTATTTATTCATGACAGAGAGAGAGAGAGAGAGAGAGAGAGAGAGAGAGAGAGAGTTAAGCAGAGGGAGAAGCAGGTTCCATGCAGGAAGCCCGAGGTGGAACTCGATCTCAGGACTTGATCCTGGAACCCCAGGATCATGCCCTGAGCCAAAGGCAGATGCTCAACCACTGAGCCACCCAGTCACAAAACAATTCTTAATACATTTAAATATATTGAAATAAAATGTCTTTTCAATTACAATGGAATTAAATTAGAAATTGATGGCAGAAAGAAACCTGAAGATCTGAAAAATGTCTGTATCCTTAAACAACGGTTCAAAGACATCACAAGGAATTTTAGAAATAGCTTGAGACAAATGAATATGTAAACACAGCATGATTAAACTTATGGGATGCAGTGAAAGCAGTTCTGATAAGGGACATTATGCCTATAAATGGTTACATTAAAAGAGAACAAAGATCTTAAGCCAACAGTCTAAATGTTTACCTTAAGAAACTAGAAAATTAGAATTCACTGTATCTGAGACTAGCTGAAGGAAGAAACAATACTGAGAGCAGAGATAAACAAAATAGAGAATAGAAAGTATAAATAAAACTAAAGATTAATTCTTCAAAAATATTGAGAAAATTAATAATTAGCCGGACTAAAAAAGAAACAAAGACACAAATAAGTAAAAAGAAAAAAGGTGTTGTCAGTGTACTATAAACTACATACTGAAAAACTAGATAATCTAGATGAAATTGGGAAATTCTGGGAGATATGTAACCCACCAAACTAAATCATGAAGAAATAGGAAGCTTGACAGACCTAAAACTAGTAAGGAGAATGAAGCAGTAATCAAAACCTCCCAAATAAAACAAACAAACAAACAAACAAACAGCTAAAAACCAGCAGTCATTACTAGCAAATTGTACCAAATATTTAAAGAGAAATAAATACCAATACTCTGCAAATTCTTACAAAACATTGAAGAAGAGGGAACACTTCTTTTTTTAAGATTATTTATTTATTTGTTTGTTTATTTATTTATATATTTATTTATGAGAGACAGAGAGAGAGAAAGAGGCAAAGACATAGCAGAGGGAGGAGAAGCAGGCTCCATGCAGGGAGCCTGATGAGGGACTCCATCCTGGGACTCCTGGATCATGTCCTGAGCTGAAGGCAGATGCTCAACCACTGCGTCACCCAAGTGTCCCAACTAACTCCAGGATGCCAGTATTTACCTGATCCTAAACCAAGACAAATGCAATACAAGAAAATAGAACTACTGGGCAGTCCGGGTGGCTCAGCGGTTTAGCGCCGCCTTCAGCCGAGGGTGTGATCCTGGAGACCTGGGATTGAGTCCCACATCAGTCTTCCCTCAGGGACCTGGCTTCTGAGTATGTCTCTGTCTTTCCTTGTGTCTCTCATGAATAAATGAATAAATAAGAAAATCTTGAAAAGAGAGAGAGAGAAGTGAAGCTTCCTCTCTTTTTTTTTTACTTCAAAACTTATTACAAAGTTCCAGTAATCAAAAAATATGGTATTGACTTAGAAATAAACATAGACCAATGAAGTAGAATGGAATCCAGAAACAAATCCTCACATAATCAAATGATTTTTCAACAGAGGAGCCAAAAACATTGGGAGAGAAAGGAAAACAAGCTGTCCTGGAAAATCTTGATATCCACATACAAAATAAATGAAATTGGAACTTTTCCTTACACCATATACAAATATCAATCCATAATGGATCAAAGACTTAAATGTAACACTTAAAACTATACACTCGAAAGAAATCAGAGGGGAAAAGCTTCATGACATTGGATATGAGAATTATTTTTTGGATATAACAAAAAGTACAAGAAAAATGAAGAAAGTAGATAAATTGCATTACATAAACTTTACATTTCTATGCATCACAATCAACATAATAAAAAACAAGCCATGGAATTTGAGAAATATTTGCAAATCATATATATGCTGAGGGATTCATATCTAGAGTATGCAAAGAACTCCTTTGCAGGGGACCCAAATGGCTCAGAGAGTTGAGTGACTAAATCCTGGTTTTGGCTTCGCTCATGATCTCAGGGTCCTGGGATCAAGTCCCATGTCAGGCTCTGTGCTCAATATGAAGTCTGCTAGAGATTTTTTTCCTCTTCCTCTGCCCCTCCCCTGCTCATGCTCCTCCCCTACTTTTTAATATATTTTTAAAAAGAACTGCTTTGCTTTATTAACAAAAGCCAAACAACCTAATTTTTGAAAAGGGGCATTTTTATTGGAGGTGGTAGGATAAGTATTTGGGTAGAATTTTCACCAAAGAGGCATGCAAATGATCAAAAACCATGTGGAAAGATGTTCAACATCACTATTTATTAGGAAAATATAAACCAAAACTACAGTGAGAAACCATCTCACATACATTAGAATGGTATTGTCAAGAAAGAAAAGAAAGAACATAAATGTTAGTAGGGATGTGGAAAAATTGGAACTCTTGTATACTATTGCTTTGGAATAATAAAAAAAAGTACAGCCATTATGGAAAACAATACTGTGGTTCTTCAAAATATTAGAAATAGAATTCCCACATGATTTGGCAATTCTACTTCTAAAAGATTTGAGAGCAAATCACAAAGAGCTATTTATACATTTATATCAGTTGCAGCACTACTCACAATAGCCAAAATGTGGAAACACTCAAGTGCCATCATCAGATGACTAGAAAAGCAAAATATGGTACATATATGTATATATGTATAATGGAATATTATTCAGCCTTAAAATGATGGGAATTCTAACACATGCTACAATATAGATGAAGCTTAAAGACATTAGGCTAAGTAAAATAATCCAGTCACAGACACACACACACACACACACACACACACACACAAATACTGTATGATTCATGAGATCTTTAGAGTGGTCAGATTCATAGAGACAAAATGTAAAAGGGCTGCTTCCAGAGACAAAAGAAACGGAGGTGGTTGTTTAATGAGTACAGTGTTTCTACTTGCAACAATTAAACGTTTCTGAAAATAGATAAAGGGTAATAATTATATAGCATTGCAAATGCACTTAATGCCAGGGACTTCTATTTTTTCTCTTCTATTTTCTTTTTTTTTTAGAGAGGGAGTAGGGTGAGGAAGAGAGATAATCCCAAACAGGCATCATACCCAGCACAAATCGGGTGACACTGAGATCCCATGACTGAAGCCAAAATCAAGAGTCTGATGCTTAACCAAGAGCCACCTGAGCCCCCTGGTGCCAGTGAATTCTTAAAATGATACAATGCTAAATTTTATTTTATGTATATTTTATCACAGTAAAAGAAATAAATGGAGGAAGGTAAAGAAGGAAGTGAGGGAGGGAGAGAAGATAGAGATAACTAGTTTGTATCCTAGGTAAACAATACATTATGTAAGTTCTTTAGAAAGTCATTTGAACTTCTACAACTTCATTTTCTACTTTTTAAAAATATATAGTTTTTAAGTATTTAAATCCTATACCAAATATCTGATTTATCTCTCTTCATTATAACAAACAAAATCAATTGTTTCAAGGACACTCTGTATTAACATACAAACATAAAGTGCCATAATATGAAATATAAATTCAAATGTTTTTAGGATTATACAAAAATTGATACAGGTAACATATTTCATACTCTCTTCCATCACTCAACATAATGGTACAGTTGATAGAGCTACCATTATTTAGTTGTTTTGGATTTCATTTGATCCAGATTAGTTTACTGAAATTTACTAATTGGAACACAAAGGGATTTAGGGATAACCTAGAGAATTTAATCTATTGTGACTTTATCTGTTTCTAGTTTTAGTTTATTAAAGGATTTTACTTAAATAAATCTTCAAGCAGAGTCTAGAGTTAAGTGATCATTAAAAATTGAATGTTTCCAAGGATGAAAAGAAAAAGCACTTGAATATTCCTAGGACTAGTACCATGATACTGTGACTGTAATTGAAAATAAACAGAGTATATAAAATTGTATCTTTCAAAACTCAAAAGCAGTGAACCAATTGGGAACCTAAAAGAAGTGGGATAATATTGTCAGTAGCCTCCAAAACATAGGATTCACCAAAGTTAACAGGAATCTTTACAGAGTAACTGTGGTGAATAGTTTGCCAATAACACCCAGAGCCAAAAACATATCAAATATGTCAATGGTGTCTTAAAGTTATTATTCATTTTAATTAAGGCACAACTGCCCAAGTTCTTATTGAAGCAAACTCATTTGCAATATTTGCATCTTATTCCTAGAACATTTTATTGTCACTATTTACATGAAATGCACTGTAATATAAATGGCTTTCATAAAAGTTGCCAACTTCCAACCACCTGCTGTCTGTTGACAGCCTTAGCAGCAATTCTACTGCTGCAAAGTGATATTCGATTGAATACCTACTGTCGGATCCACACACCATTCTTCTAGGTTATGCAGTTTGTTGAAATGAGATCATATTTACTAATCCTTTTTTTGCCACCTCTCAGTCTTCCTGGTATTACTTGCTCTGATTGACTCCACCAAGGCATCAGGCAAGTAGAAATGTGATCCTATTTGGAAACTTCATTTTCCTGCAGTTCACATGGGAACAGCAACTGAGAAGTGTGTGGTTTGGAGAGGTTGCCGATGGAAATAGACTGATAGAAAGTTCAGTGTGTGAAATGGAAATGTCCTGCTGCCAGTTCAGCCATGTCTATGCCATTTTGGCAACAATGTCTCATTGAAGCACTTGGAATTGTACCAGTGTTGATAGACAAGGGTGTCAGATAGAGGGGGTACCCCAGTCTATGTCACAATTTTGACTGAA